TGTAATAGTTTAGTTCACCTGAAGTCGAGCTGCTTTAAACACAGGGAAAGAAAGGTGTAAATGCTTTGTAACCAACAACCTTAACTAAAACATTTTCTGATGTTTTATCAATGACTACACAGACCAATGATATTGAACAATATTATATGTTTTATAAGGTTAATTTAACACAGAGGGTTATCTTTACTGTGATTTTTAAAGAAAATGTGTTCACCGTAACAAACTAATCAACTGAAATAGGTAAACAAAATAACTCTTTAAATTCTAACACTTTATATAAGAATATCAGTCTCTTTTAAACAAAAAATGTACATGTTTCCACGTTTTTTCCCAATATCTCTAGATTTGCGATATCTATATCATTGGTGTATCAATGGAGCGACATTATAATTATCATTAATTTTTGTTTTTCTGATTAAGTCATAAAGTATAAGTTTTCTGTTTTTTAGCCCCCCCCCCCATCCCCAACTTAACATTTATTCTTATTTAATGTATGTGCAGTGCAACCACTGTTTATTAATTCAATCAACATGCATATTTTATTGTACTTATATTGCTGTGTACTTTGGGTCGGAAGGCTCATGTTGAATTGTTGATAAGCAAAAATACATTTAAGCTCTTGAAATTATTTATTCAACAATGATTTTTCATTTTAACAAAAGTATCATAGTGGGTAACACACTCAATAGCACGTCACTGAACGTAATAAATATTTACAATTTGTACATTAAACATTCTTGTTAAAAATACAATTCACATATTTTCACTTTGGACTTAATTCTAATTGCCATTTTTCAATGAACAAAATGCGACATGCCTCATTCATTATTTTTTCACAGTGTACCAATTATAGAATTAAAAAAGGACCAAACAGAGTAAATATCTACCACGTAGGACAAATATCATGAATATGGTGTTAAACCACTACCTGTTGGTTAATTCTTAAACTTTCAAAAAAGGTGTAAGAACATACAATCGTGTATAAATTAAAAATACATAATTGTTCTTTGGAAATCAATTGACATGCCTATTATGATTTAAATTAGGGCATTGTAGCTGAAACAATTGAATAGACAAGGCGTGAATTTAACTGCGGTAACTTGCAATATAAACGCGCTGTACTTTTTAATAACGATAATATAATGAAATAAAAATATAATTGTATGAAAAAAACACTTAAAATTTAGGCTAAAACCAATTACTTCTTGCAAGTAAATTTAACAAATATGTATCTCATAACGTGGTGTTAGTTAGAAATCAAGCCAGAGACCTTCTGTTTATCAGTTCTTACCTTACCGACAGAAGAGCTTTGAAAATAAGCCAAAACCTAAATAGTCGGCATAAAATCTCCGCTTGAAAAGTAATGTGCTGCATTCCAAATAACATGTTATGTGAAGGTTGTCCTTTTAAAAGTAGCTTTAGAGTTATGTTAACGTTATTAATGTTGGATATCACTTTTTTGCTCAACAGTTATTTTGAAGGCATTTGAATCAATGCATCTGAAAAATCCATTAATAACTTTGTAAATAAAGCAGTCTTGAAAAGGCTGACGAATGTCTCTTAAATTTTATAATAAACCTTAAAGATAAAAAAATGGAACAAACAAATAATTATCAGATATTTTTTTCAATTATTTTCACATCTCATACGTAACATAGTAGTCAAACTTAGATGAACCTTCTGAATCAGCTGTCGTTTCACGTCGTTGATCGATCATCTGTTTTAATGAAAAGTTAGATGCACTTCTTGGGGAAAATTACACGAAAGTTGATGTATAAATGTACATTGTAAGGCATTAAACCTAAACTTTAAATTTCTCTTAAATTTTATAATAAACCTTAAAGATAAAAAAATGGAACAAACAAATAATTATCAGATATTTTTTTCAATTATTTTCACATCTCATACGTAACATAGTAGTCAAACTTAGATGAACCTTCTGAATCAGCTGTCGTTTCACGTCGTTGATCGATCATCTGTTTTAATGAAAAGTAAGATACACTTCTTGGGGAAAATTACACGAAAGTTGATGTATAAATGTACATTGTAAGGCATTAAACCTAAACTTTACACTTTCAAAGAGTATTGATATTGACACGAAAATATAATGTTTTGTTGAAGTAAATCGTTTACAAACACAGGAATACATTACACGATATTTTGGTCAGTAATTTCTTGTTGATAACTTCTGATATGATAGCTATTGGTTTGCAAGAAATGTTCTCGTCATACTGAATAATCTTTCTCTATTTTCCAATCATACAATTATGAATTATGTTCAATTATTGCACGTTTAAAGATTTTTAAAATGGTAAACGATCCGGAAAACTGTATGGAAATACGTGTTTATCAAAATGAAAATGGTAAAGAAGATAAAGCTGACGATTTTTCCAAGCCAGTATTGTTAATGTTATCCCAAAGCGTTAAATTGCACTTCCTATGCAAAATGAGTTGTGTGGTCCCCGTACTAAATGACCGTTTCGCTGACCAATATTCAATTTTAGTAGTTAACTGACATATCAGGTTATTCAAAAGGAATATGAAAGCCTAGAAAGATAGAACAAACAATCCACTTAACTCTTTGGAAGAAAGTAAATGAAACATATGAAGGAAGAGGTGGGAGATTGCCGTGAAAAAAATGCATCAAAAATGTCATATCGTGTTTATACAAATACTATGTACTTAAAAGGTTAGTTGGTACAAAAATAATAAATACAACATTAAATTATTTTTTTACAACGTAGAAAATCTCTTCAATATTGACATGATTACTAGATACAAAATGCGTCCAGTGAAGTGTGTCTTGATATCCTCTTCGACTGAACGTTAAATATTGAGAGTTGCCTCTCCCTTGTTTATTTTTGGTCTTTATGTAAGCATGGGTTACCCATTCCATTTATTTTTCAAAATAAAACAAAAAACATTCCAATAACAATTCAGTATCATAAGCTTGATTATACGCCAAAGAAACAAGTTTTTAATAATAGTTTTATTCATTAGATATCAATAGAAATTGGAAATTAACAAAATCAAATTTTCTACAATTAACTCTTTAATCAAAAATATAACTGGAATTGATAAAATAAAAAAAAATTCTTTGTTAACTGTAAATTATGTTATATCAACAACATTGAATGCTTATGTTATTTATTCGATTTTAAGTTAAATTTAAGTGCCAGTTTCCCTGTGTCCCTAGTAAACCTTTGTCATCATCAAATACAACCAGCTGAACCTGAAAAGATATATTTGCCAACTTTGATGAAGAGCATTCCACTGTTCTTGATATATATCATCTGTCATAATCAGAGAAATAATATACTTCAACAATAAATTATACTAAATAACATTCTTATTACGAAATGTCTGCAGTTCAACATATATTTAAGAACTGAACAGTAATTTATAACATCCCATCCTCCTGAAACCATGAAAAAATGGGAGTATCTCAACGCTTGTCAAACGTTCCATGATATATTTGGAATAATACATCGAATTCAGTAAAGATCATAAACAACATTTAAGTGATCGTATGTCAAAATGTTTTCGTTATATTGGTTTCAAGATGTCATAATGAATTTAAGGTCAAACTACTTGGTGCGCCTATTTACCGAAATAGCGTGATCATCGGTAGTTTGATATTTTCCACGAACAATTTATTACCCCCTCCTAAATGAAATTATGCACGTATATTCAACTTGGTTCCTACTTTTGATAGCTATAAAGTCTTTTATATATAACCTATATAGTTTGGGTCTACAAATGAAATAGAAGACGGTCACGCAAAACATTGTGACAATGGTGAGAAAGGAGAAATATTAAGGTGTAATAGTAAAAACTTATTTGGTTTTTACTTTATATACCTGACTGTTTAGTATTTCCCCTTTTCAGAACATGCTATCAATGTAAAAAAGTTAAGTGATGTTGAATGTAAAAGACCTGAGCCATCAACCGTAGTAATAGCTTTTAAATGATATACTGCGTTTTAATGGGAAACTCAATGTCATTTTGGCTACTGAAACACTTATTATTGTGAACACATCTATACCAATGAAAGCTATTAAGCAACGTGTGCTAACCAAAGGACTTAATGCAAACAAGTTGTATGGTTCACCCAGTCAAGAAGCACATGTATGTGACATTACCTCTAGGTATTAAAATATTTGTAGGAACATAAGACGATAATCTTATCTTAAGTAATTCAAAAGATACTATTTTCCCTGGAACATTATATTCAGATATTTATCGACGTTTATTTGATATTTAGTTACCAAAACCTGGTATTGTTCATTGTGACTTCACGAATATGCATTTCATGGTGTTTTATATTCGCCTTCTTCAGGGAAAATAGTTTAATTTGAATTTTGTTCAGATTAGTTCTGTACACAATTTTCAAATTTTAAAGTTATAATTATAATTAAAAAAAAACAATATTGCACATGTGTGATATTCCAGCCGATTGAAACACTGTTGTCTGTTTCATTGTAGAAAATCTTTGTTATCTGCCTATTAAGTACGATGATTCAAAGCAATGTAAATGAAACTTGGAACATTACATAATCACGACAACAATTAGTTGTTAGACAAGGGGCATTATCGCGAATGCAATATTCTATATAATTTTATAAGAGTTATGTCTCTTTTTAACTTAGAATATTTATGAAAATTTGTGACAATTTGTAAACATCGCATGTAGTGCTTTTGTTATTTTGGTTGGTTGCCATACAAAATTCAATTGAAGTTCATAAATAATACTTGTTCTTTTTCCAGTTTGAGTTAAATAAGTTTACTATAATAATTTTTTTTAAGACATTTGGCATTGCTTGAGATACAGAGCTAGAATATAATAAATTGCTGTATATACTTCGTTGGTTTTGCAATATGACACACACGGAAGTCAGCTGCATAAAAATGCAAAACAATGAGGCCAAGTTCGTATTGAACAATATATCTACAATAGCTTGTGCCAAATTTCTTTTCTTTTTTTACCACAAGCGGACGATTGCCATATCTATTAGGTTTATCAAGATTAACGTCAAGAATACTTTAAATTATTGCATATCAATATTTGAAGCTTAATGTTTACAGTTTGTTATTTTGTTGCTTGACAATAAATAGCAAAAAATTTGCATTGATATTACGGATTATTTCTGAAATATCTCATTAAAGAGGAAGCTTTGTAAGAGTATTATATCCTTTGAGGGTAATTAATTATTAAATAGTATATTATGTAAGTTTATTTTTCTTTCATATTGTTTTCTAATTCCACTTCATAACTCTTAATTGTTTATTCCTTTGTTAGATCAATTATTATTTTTCTAAATGTGATAGAAGCTGTAAATATCGCATCATTGTTCTTTTGATAATTTTGTTTTTGTAAGACGCGCATTTTTTGTTTGAGCTATATTTAAGAAATAGCATTTGACCATGCAAAATATTATCAACGAAAACAGTCAAGATCATAATTTCCGTTGTATTTTCATTTACGTTTTTTGACTGGCGATTTTATCTCTTTTATCATTGTTAGCAGCACATAAAACCGCGCTCAGAGATCGACTTTGGTCAATATATTTTTTAATCCTTCGAAATAACATAGACTCTTGATTAACAGGGCTTTCTCTCAATCTCTCATCATAAAAATATAACAACCATGCCATGTGAAATTTTCAGTAAATTTAATGATAAACAGAAGAAAACAAATCGGCTTTACAAAAAAAATCAATCCATGTTGCGACATGTTCTTTGGATTTGAACTTTGTTTGTATCTTATATTGCTGTAAAGAAAAAGCACTACTAATGTACTAATGCCAGAGTTTATCTGTAAAGTAGTCGGACAAATAGTAATTTACTATTATTAACTTGACCTCTGAGGACCAGACAACTAATGTTTAACAAGACTCGTGATTTTGTCATTATTCTCGTATTACCGATTACATGTATGTGCGGCTGTTCTCTTTTCCATGTACCTTTTTAACAAAGGCAAAAATAATAAATGCATTAATCGATATTTCCTGTTGCTAGTTTGGTTCCCTTAAGGTATTAGCACCCTAATGCATTACCTCCGCTTTGAAGAGTATTCAAATAGGCTAGACTTACTGTTAACTACATTGAAAATGAGGGCCATGGGTTCAATCCCCAGAAGGGTCAACTTTTTTTTCTTCTTTTTTTCTTTTAACATTATTTATGTATCTCTCATGTCCCATATGGAAAGAAAAAAGTGTTTAATTTTGAATTTTTTATTTATATAGGTATTTATTGGCTAAATTACGCTAAATCTAGTAATAAATATGGTACCTGATATTTTCAAAGTGTAATATAATCAAAACTAGACGGTAAAGGTATTTCATATTTTACAAGTTCAACCAATATACTTTTTTTTTAAAAATTTAGGGAAACTTTGAAAACAGGCACTCATTTGGGTAAATTTTAAGATTTTTTTGAATTAGGCTCCCTAAGTAGAAAAATGGTCAGACATGTGGTAAAAATGGGTGGGGTAGGGTAAAATTTTTATACAGATTTCATAAGTTTTAAGTAGAAACCATAATTTTGCTTATGTGAATTGTTAGCTGAATGGTACTTTTTGTTTCTTACCAAAAATTCATGGAGAAACATTTTTCATTAGAATGTTATTGCAGATTATTTAAAGGTTCCTCATTTCTAAAAAAGGGCCCTCATGAAATCCTAGCTTGAGTTCAGAAAAGTGGCCATAACTTGATTTCCGTACGGTAAAATTTGTTTATATTTTGCATACAGGTGTACTTTAAGGTATACCTCTGACGTATGATGTCAATTCTTTAGTTTCTGATAGTGCCCATTAGGGTCCTAATACCTTAATATAATGGTAACACTAGCATGGAATGATTTTATTTTCATCTTTACCGTACCTTTTGATATAATTAATATAAGAAGGATCTTAAAATTTTCATAAGGGGAACGGTGGCCTAGTGGTTAGGTGTCTGCCTCTCAACCCAGAGATCATGGGTTTGAGCCCTACTCGGGTCACGACCAAGTTTCTTCATATAACACCAGTACTGGTTGGTTTCAGGAAGCGGATTCGAAAGTGTTTAATATAAGTTGCAAGAACTTGTTTCGCAATCGAGCTTAAATAAATATGTTTAATGAATTTTCATATAAGCAGAATGAGGTCATTCAGTGTAGTCTGGTACGTAAGGTAAAATTGCTAAAATAATTATTGAAAATAAAGATTTGTACGAAACTGATTTTTTTATTACCTTTGCGAAAATAAAGCGCTGAATAAAGAAGCAAAATACGAATATATGCAGCGATAACAATCTCCGCTTGAAAAGAAACGTTAGTGATCTCCCATAATTTGTATTGTTATAATGGAAATAATATCGGTCTGGGCGGTGTAAAAAACTTATTTTACACCGTTTTGGTGAAGGTCTTGACCACGAAGGCCTAAATTGATATTTTAAAGTAAAACATAGTAAACCTTCCTTCTACACGTACGTTGATGTTGAAATGTACTTCGTACAGACTTACTAAAATCAAGTCTGCAATTTTCACGCAATTGTTTTTGATTACTGTTTCCGAGGAATCATCCTTCTTCAAGATTTTTGTATGACATTTACTAGATTATGTAATCAACAATGGCTTGATATCAAACCTTACATGAATCATGAGAGAATCGTGTAACAAACACATGAAAATGTGTAGGAAAATATGATATCAATTGCTTTGAAAAAAATGGCTCATTTTTTGGTCAACATGTATAATTTGTCTCCTATTTACATGTATTATATGCAACAGTGAATTTAAATTCCATTTATTATGGTGGCTGATTTGTGCCATTAGTGTTTTCGTACCGCGACCCTGCCAAGCGAAAAGTCGATAATTAACAAGTCAAAATGGCGGGGGCGCGGAGCGGAAACACGCTAATTAGTAAGGGCGCGGGGCGAAGTTTAATAAATAAAACTTCTCACCGTAGGGACGCGGGGCAAGAGAAAAAAATAGCTGCCATTTTATTTCATTTTATTTAGAAAATAGACCACGTGACCAGATTTTATACTGTTAAAAGTACTGTTACCTATGTAACAGTACAAAATTCTTAGTCACGTGGTACACTTCCATTAACAGTAAAAATAACTCCCAGAGGCCTATGGGAAATTAGCATTACGAAAAAAGTGAGGGGTAATAATAATTTATAACATCTCATCCGAGAACATGAAAAAAAGACTGTTAAGGGTTTCATGATATATATTTAGAAAAATACATCAGAGAGGATCATAAATAACTTTTAAGTGATCTATATTTTTTCAAGACGCGGTCAATAAATGCCATATATCTTTGTTTCCATATTTTTATAGTCTGGTGGCTTTGATTGTATCGTGACATTGTTTTATTTGAAATGATTTTCAATATGAGTTGGTAAAATTGTCATCATTTATAATATCAAGTTAACGAACTTCTGTTCAACAGTTATAAGTTCGTTCTAGACTATACACGATGTTCAATATATTTTTTTTCGATTTCTGTGTTTGCTCCTTGACTATTTATTTACTTCTAGGCATATATATAAGCAAATACGTAATTTTTCGTCTGTTTTTGCCAGTAGCATTCACACTGTGCTGGTCACAAATGCTGGGCATATATTTTAAGTTCTGTGTATTACCCTCTGCACGCTTAATATCATCAATAGACTTGTTCATCGTTCAATCTGGACAAAACTTCTCTTTTTTTTTCAAGTAAACTTTCTAAATAATGATTGACTAATTAGCGAGCAGTGCATATCATATTGATGTACCGGCGGGTCGTGGTCTGCATTGGTCATAAAAATAGAATATGTTGCGGCCATTTGAAAAAAAAATAAAAACTATATAGAGTCAGAAGTATAAATATTTGTATCTGATCATTTGTATTTTAATTTGCATATAGTTGGCATTGAAATTTTGATTGCATTCTCAGTTAAAGAAACGATAGGTAAGCTGGAATTGGGCTATTTAAGATAGATTCCCCCAAGAAAAAACAAAAAAGATCAACAGTGACTGCTTTTTATTCGCAGGTTAGGCTTCGTGCTCTTCTCAACAGAATGGCAGTTTGGTATAAATGCAAGTTATATTTGGTATAAAAAATATAACACACACAAATTGCCGAATGGTATGAATTTTTTTGCATGTAGTCCCGGCACTTCAACACATGTCTTTTTTGTATTTATATATACACGGAAGAATCCAAGCAGCTAATGTTATTGCTACTATCGAACTTAAGTTCAGCCTTTAACTGTCTCTTCGCTTTATTTGAAATAATTTTGATTATATTTGTGCAACTCATCTCAGTTAAACCCTAGTCTGGGACTAGCAATACAACATCGGTTATTCTTTAGTTAAAACTAAGATTAAACTGAACTCAATTAATCCACTCAGCCCGCTGAGTCACAAAATTTCAATTTCATTACTGGTATTAAGTAGAATCTGCTAGTACAAATGTTAAAATATATTTCTCGTTTAGCGGATAGAATATTTTTAATTTCTATTTTAAATTAGATAACATTAGTCTTTATTTATTCATAAAAGTAATTTCAAAATTCGGTGTTATAGTAACAGCTCATTTTCTGCTCAATTATGTCAACAAGAGCACCGCATAGACGTGACAACATACGCCTGAATACAAATTTGTTTTAAGAAAATAAAATTTTAAGTAATCAAAAATAATTTTTAAACAGAGGGGATTCCCGTTTATAACATTTGTCCGCAACATATTTTAAATCAGTTATCAATACTAAGATCTATATTGATACATACTAGGTACAGAAAAAAATTAAGTGTTCTGCAATTGGCTTTCATGATATAGTTTGACTGGTGTAACGAGTTAATTCTTTTGATATTTAATTGTCATCTGGTTATCATTATATTTTTGTATTGCTATTATAGTTATTCTGTTACTCTTCTGTCAAAGTATGAATGGATGATAGACTATTTTTCATAAATCAAATGTATTCTATTCTGTCAATGTGTGTAATGTATTCAAATGAAAACTTAGCGGACGTTCTTAAACATTGTCAAAAAAATCTATACGTTTTGAATTTTTTATGAAAATTAAATAAAAAGGCGACCATTCGATATTTCTAATCAACAATGAATTGGTAAAAACAGATACATGTATATCGTATTTCATTTACTAAAACATGTGCAATGTTTGTATAAAAGCCTATGGCAAGGTTCTTGTTTAACAAATATTCATATTAACTCTCAATTGGAACAAGGTATTGATATTTATCGAAGGTCACATCGATTAGGTGTACAAATTTTAAAGTAAAGAATATTCTTTTGAAAATTCAGCCGTTACATAATAATGCGCATTTGTAATTTTATAAAAATGTTTGAATAATGATAAGTATATCAAATTAATTCAATTTATTGTTTTCTTACTGCATACCTTTATAATGGTTATATTTTTGTTGTATCTATTTAGATTGGTAAATTAAATGGTGCCACGAACTTCGATTGAAGAAATCCACCCTTCGTTTTGGTTAAACCAATTGTCACAGATCCCTGTCTCTATGTACTTGGTACAATACAAAGACTAACTCTCTGTCTTGAAGTTTGATGTACTTTCGGCTTATAGAAAAAGAAAAAAAGGTATTGAAATATTTGAACAAAGTCAGTTTAGTAGGGCCACTGGTCTGGGTGGTATTCCTTCACGTTTTGTAAAACATGGCGCAACTTTAATAACTTGGCCTCATATTAGTAACTTGTCTAGGTCCTTATTGTTAACCCTTTGTTATACAGGGTGTTGTGTCAAAGGGCCTTAAAAATGCATGCGTTGATCCTTTGTATAAGTTAAGTTATAAAACAGAAGGAGGAAATTACATATGGAGGGCGTTCGTTGCCAAACTTCCAAACATGTTAAGTGTTCTTTTTTAAAACTACTTTGGAAATGCGAACGTGTATTTAAGGTCCGTTGTGAAGATCTATTTGTTAATTTGTATTTCAAAACAGAAATCTCCAATCAAGGATTGGATTAAGAAGCATATTATTTGCTGTATACAGTCAGAAATGCTACGCATACACGTAAACGTTTTCAAAACCAATTTGTTAAGAAAGAAAAAACATTTTACATGTCTGTAGCTTTGGCATCGAACGCCCTCACCATGATCAAAGACCTGTTTCGATGTTATCTATTATTCCAAAGATAGTTAAAAGAATTTTTTATAATATCTCATTATATAAAGTTAAAATTAGATACTATTTTTATATTGACACGGTCCTATAAGATTTGCAGAAAGCTTTTGATACTGTTGACCACGCTATACTTTTAAATATATTCAATATAATGGGTTTGAGTCGATATGTTGTCAGATGGTTCCATTCATATTGAATTAGGTAAACAACAATGTATTGATATTTCTTGCACTTATTCATCATATGCAGAAAAAATTGAAGTACTCCAAGCCTCCGTTCTTGGTCCTCTGCCTAATTAATTTATTTAAAAGACAGGTGTTATTGTACAAAGAGGATTCTGCTTTTTTAAATTTCTAGTAAACGCATATAAGAAATTGAACGTTTGCTAACCAAAGATCTTAAATTAGTTAGTAATAAGTTAGTAACTGTTTAGTTGCTAGCAAATTGCCATTTCATCTATTGAAAATAGAATCACTTTTGTTTGGTCAAAACTCAAGTTAAAAGGGAACTAAATTTTAATCTTGTTTGTCACAGTGATGGTACTACTATTAAGCATAATGATTCGGATAATTACATAGAAGTCATTTAAGACTCAATGTGAAATAAACTACCACAAGAGATAGAGAATACGTTCAAAGTTTATGTAAAATAAAAAATGCTGTTTACTATTTATGTTTTTAGATTGCATATATACGTTTTATTTTTGTCTCCTTGATTAATTAAAATGCAAAGCAATTACTAAGTTCTAGTGACATGCTAGGACATGTCATTATACATCCTCAATGGAAACAAATTTTCCAACATGCTTATCATTTTACTATTTTTAGTTTGCCTTCTTTTCACTAGTCTAAAGGTTTTATTCTAAAGACATAATTACTTTCAAAAAAAAAGTTTTCTGTTTGTTGTTATTTCATTCTAGACAATAAGTATGTGATATGTACCATGAAATGACATATATTTATATACTGAAATATATTATTAATACGTTATAGAGACTGTTATCTCTTTGTACTTAAACCTTTCATTCTTAAACGGCAGGACTAGTAATTTAGTTGGTTTCCAGATTTCTACAATCTTATAGTGAAATATTGCACCGACTTAAAGGTTTAAGAAAAATTAAAAGAATGCACCATTTGAAATATTGACGAGTTATGGATGACGACACTGACGTTCAGTATGAACTAGTCAATATACCATAGTCAACCACTGGACATCAAATCTTCTGATTTTACAAAAATAATTACTTTAAATCTTTTACGAACAAATAACTGAATATATATGCTCATATAAGTTAAGATTGACCCTCATTTTAGGCGGACAATAGAACAAACAAATAACATAAAATGTAAAAATAACAAACATCTGTTAATAATCATGTGTCGTATTATGCCTCGTACACTTTAAGGAATTCGTTTAAACAATCATTTTTAAAAATTTTAAACCTGAATAATTTTTAAAAAGATCCATTTTTACATAACCTTAATGAGGAAAAATCAAATTTGATATTCCTGGTTTAATAATATTTTAGAAATTATTTACTACAAATTCTTTTTTCCTATTTAGCTATCTTCATTTTTCTGTTTTCTTATATTATCCAGATTAAACAGTAGTCATGTTGCGGTCTGTTCATCTCAAGAACTTTGTGGGATTTAAAGACTATCAGGTGATGGACTTCTCAAACAATGGGCCTTTCATTCTCATCGGCGAAAATGGTTCAGGTAAAAGTTCTGTTTTAGAAGGTATCCGACGGTGTTTAAAGCTGGAACTTAGTACATCAATATCTTCAGTATTTGACCCGGAAAAAAATTCTTATTTCATTTGCAACGTTGAGACTGATAGTTCACCAAGTAATGACGTGGTACTCGGTATCGTGTCCAAACCTCTTAATCCTAAGCGGAATCAAGGCAGACAAGATGAGATGCAAAAAAGTAGTGGTGCCGAAGAAGTGAATTCTGAAAAAGATTCATCTGGTAAAGAATCCCAAACAGACGTTATTTACAAGAGAAATCCATCTGGAAACGAATCCACAATTACAAGTACCATAGAAGAGTATTACAAATTTGCCATTTCTAAAAATGATCAAATACTGGTTGATCTCATTACTTTAACAAAATCAGGGGATAAAACAGATCTTCAGGTGTCTGAGAGCTACATGCTTAGCAATGAAAACTCATCCGTTAACATAAACCAATGCATTGAAACTTTTTCAAATGTAAATAAAAAAGATGAAGTCATAGAGGATTGTATCAAGTCAATTTTAGTAAATCTCGACAACGCCCCAAAGACTTCTCCAGACAAATTAAATGAAAAATTGCGCACAATGACAGAGCAGTTTGTTTTTACATTCCCGTCGCGGTCAACGGCTCCTTATCAGTGGTCTGAAAGTAAACGTCACACCATAGAACATCGAAATGAAAATTACGAAGAGGCAGTAAACAGATGCGAAATAATAAACTATTATTATAACCACTTAGATGAGTTTGACAAGGACAAGGAAGAAACCTATTTCAGTCAAGTAACACAAGGTGAAGATGACAACTTCGAGCAGATGGTTACAGGAAAGAGCCGTCCAAAAAGGGGCAGATTTGCTTTGATAAAAACGCCAGAAGGAATTTTAGGAACGAAAGAATTTTCTATTCTTATTTCAAGCAAACAATACAAGACCATTTTGCTTGAAGAACCAGAGAGAGGAATGCATCCACAATTCGTACAAAGAATGGTTCAGATAATGAAACAAGAGAAAAGCAACAAACGTGTTATTCTCACTACTCACCAGAAGGGAATAATAACTCCTTGGACAATATTTGACACATTTATCTTCAGGCGCAGTGAAGAAGGAAACCGAATTATATCGGGCAAATCTGTCATTGACGAAGAGGAAGTTGTCAGTATGAAGGACATAAGATTGTTTACATCACAGCACATTTCGGACATTGTCTTTGCAAGGAAAGTTTTACTTTACGAAGGTGATTCGGAGGAACTTTTTCTCGGAGAACTTAAAAGTCAGATTCTTACTGGTGATTGCAGTATCACATCAAAATTGTTCAATGGAGATGATGCTGCATGCAACAAGTTGAAGACCAGTCTAATAGAGTACACATTTATCAAGATGAATGGTGAAGGCCAGAGTGAATTCTATCACAAAATATCTGACAAACTCCAGCTAGATCACTTATTCCTTTTGGATAAAGATAAGGGTCAAACGGAGCAGAGACATGGCCGAACATTCTATTGGAAGGATGGCGACATTGAGAACATGGTTTTAAACATGTGTACAAACAATTCAGAGCTTAAAACAGGTCTTATCGAACAGGAAGTTATTGTCGACAATCCAATTCGTATTAAAACCCACAGAGGCAGAGGCAAACTTTTCCTTGATAAACGTATCACATGTGATAACATCACAAAGAGTGTAAGACTTCTACTAGAACACTGCCAGCAAGGAGACGACCTTGCCTTGTTTATCAAAGAGTTGAAGGACTAACTTTTCTCATAATATAGACTGTTGATTATATATCTATTTGCACTGAAATTTTAAGAACGTGAATACCTTGAAAACAAAAGCAAAGGGTTAACAATAAGGGCCTTGAAAATTTGTTTGTTTGAATCTGTTTGTGAGAAACTACTCACAGACAACCTAGCACCTAGTTTATAAACACATGCACACGTAGCTCAATATTATGCACATTTTACCTTTGACATTTTTGTTTGTTTTTCGCCGCTTTTAATACAGTTTTTATTGATTTTTGTCATTTTAATAATCAAACATGGACTTTGCAGTCTTTGTTTACATATGTAAATACATTTTCACATGCATCATCGATACAATCTATGAACTAAGCAAGATTTACCAAGAGTGCATTTGTAAAAGCACATAAAAACATTCGTTATTTTTATTGATATGCAAAATTTGGAAAGTATGGTTTAGCGTGGGCTGTAGTTGTAGTTTTAGGTAGGATATTTCTGGGTAACGGTCGGGAAAAATCTTATTTGTAATCTCCCTTTGCTTGGATGCACTTTTCGCTCGGAAGACTTCTTTTGTTATAATATTCAGGCACTGAAAACATGTTGCTACACGTACCAACTGAGTAAGACTCGATGTGGCGCTCTCTCATTTACATTTATTGTATTGGTGTTGGGTTGAGCCAAAAATCACATTGAAAACGATCAGAGCTGTATGGGAGGATGAGGTATAATTTCAATACTTCTGTCGCATCGGTAAGAAATAAGTCTTGATTTAACGCATACCGGTACATGAACGGACTAAAGCCTAGTATTGAGCAACTGCCAAATAACTAAATCTTGGTTAAAGACCCTAGTGATACTCGTGCCTTCTAGTACTGAAACTCTATATTCAATGCCCTGGCTATCTGAAAAAAGTGTGTACATGATGCCTTCTGTGGCATTTGATAACCCTCTCTAAAAACTTTGTCTTATTCTGATAAAATTTCAAACGCGGTAAAGCCAACAAATACGCACACTACTATGCGCCGCTTGCTCTTCTTGAAAATTGTTGTCAGTACATGTACATGACCCAACTGAAAATTTTATTCTTTTATAATTCAATTTGGAACTATGTCCAGATTTTTGTTGAAGTATTCAAAGTTTGCCTATGAATGTAAGTAATGCTTGAAATAATCAAAAGAACATGTATTTTAATCTACATCCGTGTTCAGAACCATCATAAGCTCGCGGCACTCTAAATATCAAGGGGTAAGCGCGAAATTCAAGTTAGTGCCGAACACGGACGGCATTCATATGGTTATTGTGTTAAAGAATAAAATATCAAGAATAAAATAAGTGATGACGAGTTAAAGACATACCAGTTTTATTTAATAAAGTGTTTCTCTTATCTCTATCTCAAATGCTTTTTAATCGCGCGATACCAAATACCAACTGGTATCGAATACTAATACGCAGTTGTGTTATACGATCTCTTGGTATATTTTTGAAATATTGTTTGAATTATTCAAAGAAAGTGTTAATGGTATATACCAACATATATATGAATTAAATTAAGCCCTTATATGTGAATAATTGACAGAATGGTAATACTGGTAGAGTTCTATCTGGTGTCGATACCAGTTGATACCAATAGAGAATTTGCGAGGATTTTGTACGCTAGCTCTACCTAAAAATAAATTTCTCGACTTACGTTAACATATTTATCGTAGTTGCGATGATTTCCATCTTTATAGTTTAATCATATTATAAATTTGGACGAGAGAGTTATATAAACTTAAATACCGGATACCAGTTAGTATAATTGGTATCGAACACATTATTGATCGATAGGTGATTTTATTTAATACACAGAACGACAGTAACTAATAGTTACTCGAAATATTGGTATCGGGATAACCGGCAAGAGTCATTAATGATAGATTATTATTATTATTATTATTACTTTAATATTATTATTATTATTATTTTTATAATTATTATTATTATTATTATTATTTCTACTACTACTACTACTACTACTGCTGCTGCTGCTGCTACTACTACTACTACTGCTACTACTACTACTACTACTACTACTACTTCTACTACACGTGTATATTCTCGAAGTAAAGATTTTTCAAATATTTAAGTGAGTAAACTTAGTGATAATGCGAGTGTATTGAATCTGTGAACATAATGATTAAGGTGTATTTTATGCACGGTATATATCGTCTTGTATTGTGTATTGGTATTGAAGAAGCAGAATTAATAGCCCAATTATAATAAAACTCAATAAACCTATGTATTTATATTCTGATTGACGATTATTGATATATTGTCCTTTTTTATGTTACAGTAACAGTTAATAAAGTATTAATTCAAATTTTAAATTACCTCCGTTATATTGTTTTATAATCACCCTCTATTGAATTCGCAACAAGCCGGACCCAGGTAAAGTCACATAACATCCCTCTAAGAGTCAACCGGCTAACGCTCAAAGAAAGGGTTCGTTACATATGTTAACATTTGAAAAAAAACATTTTGTTCTATTCATTTAACTTATTACTAATATATAAATATCACAACTTAGCGGACGTTTTTCAACAATTAAATCGATATTTGTAGTCACATGAATTAGTAAAAACCCAAAATATCATATTTCATATACTAATACCTATGCCAAGTTCATTTTTTACAATTAAAGCATATTTAGCTCTATATTGCACAAAGTATTTTTCTTTATCGAAGGTCACATCGTAGGTGTACAGCTTTTAAAGTAACGAATAGTTGTTACATAATAATGAACAAGTTAAAACAATTTAAATCGTTTGAATCAAAATCAAGATCAATATCTTTATTTTATTGTTATGTTTATTTATTCTGTTATTTGCATTGTATATGTCCGAAGCAAATAAAGAATTGTACGATTTATTACCGATCATTTTTAAATATCCCATTCGAAACGTCATACAGTAAAAGAAAATATAATTTTATGGTAAGTTTAAAGTAATTCAATTTTTTTTCTACTCCATACCTTTATTATATAGTTTTTGTTATTCTTATTTACTTATTTATCTATGTATTTATTTTTTTTATTTTTTTTATCACTATTATATCTATTAAGATTGGTATTGGTGGATTTAATGGCGTTCGGAACAGCGGTTGATGACATCCACTATTTGTGAAGGTAACGCCAGCTATCACAGATCCCTATCTGTATGCTCTTGGTAAAATCACAATGACCACCTCTCGAACATAAAGTTTGATATCTGTCTGGCTAATATTTTATGGAGGTTGTCATCTCTTTGCACTTAAACTATTCACCTTAAAAGACAGGTAGTCACTTGGTCGGTTTCCAGATTCCTGTAACCTCATAGGGAAATACCATACGGACAGAAAGGCTTTCAGACATTTTAACATATTAAATCATTTGAAATATTGACGACTTATGAATGATTCCTAAACTATCGCTCAATATGAGCTTCTTCAAAGTGTTTAGTCCGTAGAACATTGTCAACTATAGGACATTCAATCGTCTGATATATATAATTTCCTTTTAATCTTTCAGGAACAAAAGGAATTGAATACATTTGCTTTACATATGTATGGATATACCCTCCTGTTAGGCTGATACTAGAACAAACAAATAACAAAAATGTCTTGTGTCATGTTATGCCTCGTATAAATTATTCTTAAGAACGATCATTTTTTTTTCATATTTTATATTCTTTTATAGAAAACGTGAACTGAATAAAGAAAACTGGTTTTACAATCTTTAGAAATTAATTTGTTAAAAAATTCATTTTGTTTTACTTTTAATCTATAATCATTGTGTATGTCTGATCATATTGTCCAGATTTAACAGAAGTCATGTTGCGACCTTTTATCTCAAGAACTTTGTCAGCTTAAAAGACTACCAAGTGATGGACTTTTCAAACGATGGGCCATTCATTCTCATCGGCAAAAATGGCTCAGGTAAAAGCTCTATTTTAGAAGGTATGCGACGATGTTTAAAGCTGGAACTAAGTACATCAATATCTTCAGTATTTGATTCGAACAAAATTTCTTATTTCATCTGCAACGTTGAAACAGATTGTTCGCGAAGTAATGATGTGGTACTCGGTATCGTGTCTAATCCTTTTAAGGCTGAACAAAATCCAGCCGGACAATATGATATACAAAAACATAGTACTGAGGAAGTAATGAATGAAAGAGATGCATCTGGTAATGAGTCTACTTCGAGAAGTACCATTAATAAGTATTATAAATTTGCCATTTCTAAATGTGATCAAATACTGGTTGATCTCATTACTTTAACAAAATGAAACGGATCTTAAGGTGTCTGAGAGCTACATGCTTAGCGATCAAAACGCATCAGTTAAAACACACGAATGCATTCAAACTATTTCAAAAGTATATTCTAAAGATTACGACATAGAGGATTGCATCAGGTCAATTTTAGTAAATCTCGGCAAAACCTCAAATACATCTCCAGACAAATTAAGCACAATGACAGAGCAGTTTGTTTTTACATTCCCGTCGAGGTCAATGGCTCCTTATCAGTGTTCTGAAAGTAAACGTCACACCATAGAACATCGAAATGAAAATTACGAAGAGGCAGTAAACAGATGTGAAATAATAAACTAGTATTATAACCACATAGAAGTTTGACAAGGACAAAGAAGGAACATATTTCAGGCAAGTAACACAAGGTGAAGACGACAACTTCGAGCAAATGGTCACAGGAGAGAGTCGTTCAAAAAGGGGCAAATTTGCTTTGATAAAAACACCAGAAGGAATTTAAGGCGCGAAAGAGTTTTCTATCCTTATTTCAAGCAAACAATACAAGACCATTTTGCTTGAAGAACTAGGAAGAGGAATGCATCCACAATTCGTACAAAGAATGGTTCAGATAATGAATCAAGAGAAAAGCAACAAACGTGTCATTCTCACTACTCACCAGAAGGGAATAATAACTCCTTGGACAATATTTGACACATTCAGGCGAAGTGAAGAAGGAAACCGAATTATATCCGGCAAATCTGTCCTTGACGACGAAAATATTGCAAGTATGAAGAACATGAGATTGTTTACATCACAACATATTTCGGACGTTTTCTTTGCAAGAAAAGTTTTATTCTATGGAGGTGATTCGGAGGAACTTTTTCTCGGAGAACTTAAAAGTCAGATTCTTTCTGGTGATGGAGATGATGCTGCATGCAACAAGTTGAAGACCAGTCTAATAGAGTACACATTTATCAAGATGAATGGTGAAGGCCAGAGTAAATTCTATCATGAAATATCTGACGAACTCCAGCTAGATCACTTATTCCTTTTGGATAAAGATAAGGGTCAAACGATGCAGAGACATGGCCGAATATTTCATTGGAAGGATGGCGACATTGAGAACATGGTTTTAAACATGTGTACAAACAATGAAATGCTACAAATGACCTTATAAATGAGAACGTTATTACTTTCATTTCAAATGATAATATACGTCCCATCCGATTTAAATGCCGCCGAGGCAAAAGCAGAGACAAACTGTTTCTTGATAAACGTATCAAATGTAGTAACATCATAACGAGTGTAAGAATTATACTAAAACAGACGACCTTGCATTATTTATCAAAAAATTAATGGAATAACCTTTTTCTCATATCGACTGTTGATTACATATCTTTTTGCAACGACGAAAAGTCAATAAAATGTGAATACCTTGGGAGAATCGAAAGCAGAAGTTTCAAGATTAACCTTGCTTTTTTCATTTGCTAAGCCAGTTTGTGAGAGACAGCTCAAGGGGAAAATATTCTCAATTCAACTATCGTCAGGTTCATAAACAGACTTAATCATACCAAGCCTACAACATATTAAATGTAGCTTTCAGAGCTAAAACTTGACACAAAGAGAACAAGGAAGTACATCGTGAAAATGGTTGATTATATGTAAACATACCTATAAATAAAGACGTTAATGTTATGCATAGTTTTAAAAAGAATGGTTTTAGTCACACACACGCATACATACGTCCGCATATACACACATACACGCAGGCACATGTAGCTAAATATTATTATTACCTTTTTCCTTTGATTATTGTTTGTGTGTATGTTTGTAAGTGTGCCACTTTCAGCACAGGTTTAGTGATATCTCAGCAGTCATTGATTGTTGTGGTTTTAATTATTTTGTATAGAGTTTGCTGCGTTTTTGCTTTCATACGTAAATACACTTCCCCATGCATCACCAATACATTTCAGAAACTAAGGAAGATTTGGCAAGAGTTGCATTCATTTTGTAAAAATGGATTTTAAAAAAATCTTATTTTTGAAAAATATGATTCAGCGTGGACTGTAGTTAGTGCGTAAAATATTTCTGAATAAATGGTCTGG